AGTGCTACATACAATTTCATGAGTTACACTGTTACATAACTGGTTCCTGACACTGCTACATACAATTTCATGAGTTACACTGTTACATCACTGATTCCTGGCAGTGCTACATACAAGTTTCACTTCTCAATTGCTTCCCAGACTTCCTCACAAAGGGATTTCCTAGGGCTTTATCCCTAGTGGATCCTGACCTACTGACACTTGTTTGGAGGTATGAATACATCTGCCAGTTTAGAATGGGTTCACAAGTGTGTCACTTCACTGACTGTCTTGGTTAACTGTCAATTTGACATAGCTTAGGGTTATCTGAAGGGAAAAAAAATGAAGCCTAGACTGAGGAATTACCTAGATCAGGTTGGACTGTGGGTATGTCTGTGAAGGCATTGTCTTGCTTGTTAATTGACATAGGAAGGCTCAGTCCACTGTGGGTGGCACCATTCTCTGGGCAGGTTGGTCCTGAGCTGTGTAAGAAAGCCTGTAAATGAGCTAACGAGCAGTATTCCTCTATGATGCCCGCTTTCAAGTTCACGCTTAAGTTCCTGCCTTCACTGCCAGACTTTGACCTTGAAGTGTATGTCAAATGAGCCTATACTCCCCTATGTTCCGTTTGGTCAGAGTATTTTATCATATCAACAGAGAAGTAATTCATGGACGAGTGACTTTCGAGAACCCTGTCTTACAGAGTGGTGTTCTCTGGTGGGCTGGTCTGGGAAATGCTGTTTAGGCACGTGCCATGTAAACTTGACGAAATGACTCCACTAGACATATACAAGAGTTGCCAAGGGTTTTTAGAGAAAGAGAGAGAGAGAGAGAGATGAACGTTCTTTAGAAGGTGCATATGAACTGTTAAGGTACCCTGTTAAGAGTTCTAAAATTCAGGAGTGTAAGAAAATACAGTTTTCTTATTTTATTTTGTTGTTGTTGTTTTTAAAGATTGATTGATTGATTGATTGACTGACTGGTTCATTTTATATGAGTACGCAGTAGCTGTCTTCGGACACACACCATAAGAGGACATCAAATCCCATTACAGATGGTTGTGAGCCACCATGTGGTTTCTGGGAATTGAACTCAGGACCTCTGGAAGAGCAGTCAGTGCTCTTAACCGCTGAGCCATCTCTCCAGACCACATTCTTCTTGTTTTAAGCCATGAAGTTTGTGACTGTTTCCTATAGTAGCAATAGGAAACTGTCCACAGGAGTGGAGGCAGGGCTATTGTTTCAGGCTACCAGCCACCAACAGCTGGAGAGACTGTGGACTTCACTCGGGTAAAGCCAGAACCCTGACTTTGACACAGGAAAGAACTCCAGGACAAGCTAATATAAAGCAGAGATGGAATTTTTTTTATTAAAACATATTTTAAGGTAGATTTTAGATAGGAAGAGGGATGGTCAACAGAGAGGCATCCAGGAAAACAGTGAGGCACACTTGGGACAGCATGGGTGTGGACGGATCAAAGATTTACAATTCATTGTCTGTACAATATCCATTGTACAAAGCTCTGAAGTTTTCGTTGTCAAAGGGCTGCTAAGAAATTTAAAGATGGCAATGAGGCTCCTAAGGTGACCCTAACAGGCTTACATTTAGCCACACACGTGATGTCAGGAATGTAGAAAGTTGAGATATCTTATCTTCACTGTGAACAAAAGTTGGTAGTTTTGCTCAGGATTGTTCCAGAAAATATCCGGGAGGCTGGGGGGGGGGGGAAAGTAAGGGCCTGTCCAAGGTCATATGGATCCACGCCTGAAGCCTGATTTATTGGCATTTTAACATTTTTATTTGAAAGTGTTGTTGTGTAAGATAAATATGGGCCCATGTCAATGACATTCACAACATTAACTGGGCCAGAATTATTGATTCTCAGCTGCTGAGAGGCTTCACAGACTCCAAAGTGTGGGGCTCCTTTGTTACCCATGTCCCATAGCCTTCCTTCCTGCCTTGCTTCAGAACGACTGGGTACTTGGTAATGCATCTCCAGGGATAGCTCTTCTCTTCTTCCCACTGTTCTCCCTGTTGGCTGCTATTCGGAGTTGCCTCTTTTCTGAAGTCTTCATCTCAAGTTGTTTTCTACAATATGATTATGTCACAGAGTTTCAAGTGTTCTCAGTCTAGCTGGGTGCTTTTCCAGAAATAGAATCAGAAACAGGAAGTATGAGCTGTTTATCAATCCTTCCAAAGGCATTTGGTGACATCTCAGGAAGTCCTAACAGGTACACAATCCTGGCTAAGAAAGCTTAAAACAATTTGTATTATACACAAGAGAGGAAAACTGGGGCTAAATGGGGCTGAGGTAGGGAACAGATCTGTCTGTTTATCTGGGACTGGGAAAGATTCTGACTTTGTAAGCTATCCATAAGGCTGTGTTCCAGAGAGGGGATAAGATGCCTCGCTGGGTGCCTGGGTCTTAGGGAAGGCTTCTATAAATGGTTGACATGGCTACTCATAGTACACTAAATTCTATTCGCTTCTGGCCACATGAGCACTGTCATGGGTAAGTTAACTTGTTAACTTGTTCATAGTTAAAAAAAAAAAAGGAATAGGTCATGACTGGCCAGTTCTGCAAAGGGCACATACTGGGCATTAGATTTTCCATTAGCTTTGGCAATCAGGCTGGCAGCTGATCCTGTTCAGTGGAGTGGAGGATTGATGGGCCAAGGAGATGTTAGGGCTAGTCTACCTTAAGGCCAGAAAACCCCTTTGAGAAGATCGTAGCAGGGTTACAGGAGGACCCCAGTGCCTGAGTCTACTGAAATCCTCTTTCCTTGGATTTTGCATTTGACTCCCAGAGCAAGCCTCTCACCAAATCCTTCAAATGTTGCTTCCTAAGACATTTGGGTCTTAGCTGGCATTGTCTTCTTCCTTGTTTCTACGCGGTGGTTAAGGACCTAGTGAGCTGGGGAGTAACTACAGGTCAAAACCCAAGGAAACAAACATCTAAGCAAGAAAGTCTCTTGAACAGTGAAAAACCAGAAGTCATCTTTAATATCCTTATCTTGATGGTAAAAAGGAAGTGCCCAGGCAGTAGACGGAACATTTTACAACCGGTATGGATTCTTACCTCTCACCCACTCTTTTCAAATTAATAACTACTGCTAAGCGTTGGACTTGTGTGAGCATTTCTAGCCCAAAGACTGAATTTTGTCCACTTCAGTCACTGCATGACAGAAAAACAGTGAAACCAACGTACGAATCTGCACTTCCAGGTCAATGTTCCAATGTCCTTCGCTGATTAAAAGCTATTTTTAAAGGTGTGTGGGTGCATTTTTTGAATCTGAGCCCAGTTCTTTCTAAACTTTTGTTACTCACCTCTGATTCATTTGCCGTTTTTTTTTCTTTTATCTTTTTTTCTTGTCTGTTGCCTCTATCATGGCCTGCTGCTAAGGAAGGAAGGGGTGCTGAATCATAGCTACTTAGAGGGAAAAGCAATCCAAACCATGCCTTGGAGAACTGGAAAACGCAAGACTTATTTCTCTTTTCTGACAGTCTCATTCTGTAGCCCAGGCTGCCCTAGAACCGAAGTATGTAGCCCAGGCAGTTCTTAAACTTCTTACAAAATTCCTCTCTCTCTCTCTCTCTCTCTCTCTCCCTCTCCCTCTCCCTCTCCCTCTCCCCCCCCCTCTCTCTCTCCCCCCCCTCTCTCTCTCTCTCTCTCTCTCACACACACACACACACACACACACACATTCTTCTAACTTCTGTAATATATGAATCACTCTTTGGGGTCTGATATTGCCTGTTGCTAAGGGTAGCATAAACTGATCTCGAACTTGTGATAATCCTCTTGCCTCAGCCTTTCCAGTGATCCCAGCTCTCCTAAAACCTTTGTTACATTCGATTCATTCATTTCATTTTTATTTCTCCTCACTTGCAACGGTCATTGCTGGTTGCTGTGGTGGAACATCTATTCAGTTATTCTACAGGTAAAGCCATTCAAACCAGTCCTTGGAAAGGCTGGGCCGCTTCTCCCTTCTTTGCTGTCAGCAGACACAGAGCATGCAGCTGCAGGGTCTCAGTCAGGGGACCCCAAGCCAGCGAGCGACAGGAGGAAAGGTTACCTCGCCAGGCTTTGGCCCACTGGCCTCAGCGCCTCCCACCACCGCGCCGCTCCGGTCCGGAGTCTGCAGGCGGGGCCGGGCCGCCGTAACCCGAGCTGGTGAGGGTCAGGACACCGCCCCTCTCCCTTCAGACCGCGACCAGAAAAGGGGCGGAGCCTCTGACTCTCGGCCCTCCTCCCCGGCCCTCGGCCCGCCCCGCTCTCCCAGCCCTCCATCCGGCTCTCTGGGGCTCTCCATCCTGCCCTCCAAAGCCCGCTACAGCCCATCCTCTCCCTGCAATCATGGCCCTCCGCCCCGCCCTCCCTGACCCTTGGCCCCACCTCCTCGCCCTCCGCCCCTCCCTCCCTGACTCTTAACCCCACCCCTAGACCCCGCCCCGCCCTCCCTGGTCCGTGGCCCCGCCTCCTCGACCTCCGCCCCGCCCTCATGCCCCTACGCCCCGCCTCCTCGACCCATCGCCCCTCCCGCCCTGGCCCTTGGCCCCGCCTCCTCAGCCCTCTGCTCCACCCTTCTAGGCCTCCTTACCGCCCTCCCTGGCCCCGCCTCCTCGGCCCTCAGTCCCGCCCTCCATGCCCCTCGGCCCCGCCTCCTTGGCCCCCCACCACGCCTTCCAGGCCTCGTCCTCCGCGCCCCGGCGCTGCCTCCACGGCTGGCTCCCGCTCGCGGCTCTCCTCCCGCCCCTGTGCGGGGCTCCGCGGCCCTCTTGGTCCCGCCCTCCCTCCTCCGCCCTTCCTCCTCTGCGCCGCTGCGCACCGCCCTCCCTACCCGGCCAGGCCGGCGTGCGCCCTCCCCGCGCGTCTCTCCGCCGGCTCAGCCCTCCGCGCGCCGCCCTGCGGCCCGGCCTCCTCAGCCCCGGCCCGTCGCTCGACCTCCACCGCCGCTCACCGCGGCCACCTCAGCCGCCGCCTCAGCCAGGGCGGGCCGGGCCTCACGCCGCGGGCCGTGCACCGGGACGGCGAGGACGGGCTGCGAGCGCAGTAAGTACAACTTTCCCGGCCCGCGCCCCCCGCGGCCCCGCTGTCACCCCCGCGCCCTCGCCCCGCCGCCCGAAAGTTGGCCCTGCCCGGGGTCGCCTCCTTCCCGGTGTCCTTGGCGAGCGACTTTAGAGGCCACTTTTGTGGGCGAGGGGAATGCGCGGCCGGCCCTCTCCCTCTCCAGATGGAAATCGGATGCTCGCCTGGAGGGCGAGCTTCCCCTCTGGAAAAGGAAAAGTGGCGGTTGGAAGGCTTCTGCATTTTGTCTGAACCGTGGCTGCCCTGCTTCCTCGCCCAGCCTCCCGGGTGGCCAGCCCCTCCGGGGAAGCGAGTCGCCCAGAGGCGGCTTGCAAAGTTGGCTGCGTCCTGCACCCTGGAAACTTGCAGAGGGCAATCGCAGGAAGGCTCAACTTTAAGGGTCGGGGGCTTGGCGTGCGAGGCCGCTGCGGCCCGGCGGTGGGCGGCGGAGACCGGCTTGGGGCTGGGTTGCTCGTCTTAGCATCGCCGAGCTGCCCGGGTTTTGCGGAACCACTACTTTCCCAGCATCGAACGGCATCTTGAGCCCTTCGAGCCTAGGTAGGGTTTTATCGCAGTCAGTTCTGGTCCTAATCTTTGGAGGCAGAGAAGGAAATATGCAGGACACGTTTCCTAGCTGACTCCAGCTTGTCAGGTCAGTCCTGCCAACACATCAAAGCCTTGCGTTAAAAAAAAAAATTAAAAAATAAATCCCTCCAACCGGCTGACAGCAGGGACGAACACTTAGCTACCCAACTGTAGATTGGGTCTCAGCCATTTTTCGTGAGATATGTTTTGTCCCAGGGAAGTATCTTAAATATGTAGTGATCTCTGCGTTTCTGCCCAGTTTTGGGATGTGTGTGTGGGGGGTGGGAGGGATAAGGTAGTTTTTCTTTTATTCTTTAGAAGTCTTTAACCCGTGGTTGTCAGGGGTTGTGATCTTATCTTGGAGATCCAGAAAACCGGCACCTTTCCTGTTTTGTTTTTTAAACTCCAAAACCTGTTCTTTGCTTGAGGCAGTAGGGAAGGTCAGTCCTTTGCAGGGGAGGTGCTGGTAAACACAGGAATCAGGGCTCCGGAGCTATCAGTTTGGGAAGTGGTTTGTGCTTTATCCTCTAGTGGTCATGTTAATGGTTCTTGTGATCTTATATATTTCCGTGGGGAACTTCCCCCTAAACCTCAAAATTACACATGACCCATACTCCATTTAAGCAGACTGGACACGGTTTGATGATTCTTCTACTTGAAGGATCAGATTCAACACAGCGTAATTTGCAGTGTAGGTAATTAAATCTTTTCAAAAATCTCCCAATCGTTCATCCCTCCCTTTAAGAGTCTCGAGATGGTACTTTCCGTGCCGGACTCAATTGGCCTTAATGGACTGAGATCTTTGTACAGTGATCAAGCCCTGTTTCTGGGCTACAGGAGCTTTTGGGGGACAGTGGAGAGCCCCTAGAGGGAGCTAAGTCACGGGACTCCCTGTGCAGATAGGAAAGGTTTTCAGTTAGTGTCAGTGTCCTGGAGAGAAGCACAGTTCCAGAGGTGCCCATGCCGTTCCCAGGGTCACACATCCTGAACTCTGCATTTTTAAGAGCCGTTTGGAAATTGTAGATTTAGCATCCTGCAGGGTTGTTGTGTCGTTTTCCTCACATTTTTTGTCTGTAGAGTTTTTAAGCTTTTGATTTTAAAATCCTACTCCTCCGTGCTGGACTTTTGTAACCTTTGTATTCGGTGGCATTGCTAGTGCGGGACCTGAGTGCCTTGCATTCTGAGAAATGGTTAATTTCTTAAGAAGAGGTTTCCTGTTTCTTTCTGGATCCTTTGTTGTCTCATATCATTTGGGAGTAAAACTGTTGTTTACTGCAGGATACCATTGCCCTTTTTTTGTTGTAGTTAATTTTGGCAGAGGGGCTTTGTCCATTTATAAAATGTTGAGGCCCCGGAAAAGTTGCAAGTGTTCAAAACTTGGCAAGGTTCATTCTAGGTGGAGGTGGAATGGGTTTGAGATGTGAATAGGAAACATTAGAGGTTGTAAGTATAGCATTCAAATTAAAAAGTAACGTATCAACTACTTGCTCTTCTTGGATGTTACTTTGTTCCAACCCTAAATGTTCTAATGTAGAAGTAGTGCCTGGTGTTCTACAGACTTGGGAGGGATGCCTTGTAGCAGCTAGCCAGGCATGTCAGCATCCAGGGAGCTAAGAATGGTCCCCTGCTTCTCTAGCTTAGTCATCTAAGTTAACTGTCTTTAAGATGCGGATTCTACTGTTAGCAGGAAGGCTATGATGGACAGACACCTCAGTCGTGCCTGGCACATCTTTGTCTACAATGGCAGCATCTCCCACGTCTCCAGAACTTCATCTGTGTCATCCAGACGTGCAAACTCTTCCTAGCCTGTTCTGAACTCATCTATCCAAGCAAGGTGTCTTGCTCGCTCTGCACTCTCTTCTGTCCATCTCCAAAACGGTTGACCACAAAGTACTGTGGATTTTCCCAGCAAAGCATCTCTCAAACCTGTCTGATTTTCAGGCTCTGCCATGTTGTCATTTAGTTCAAGCCACTCTGGCCTCTTCTTAAGCCCGCTGGTCTCCTTTGTCCCTTCTTGCTTGTTTTCTTGCCAATAGCCTGAAAAAGAAAGTCACTTTTTCTTCAGGCCTTCAAGATTCCCAAGAATCTATGGTACAGAATCCCCAGCAGGCCTTCCTGTCCTGTTTCTTAAGGCCCAGCCCCTCAGCCCATCTTCCTGCACATAGACCAGTTCCCCAGCAGACTGGCCTCAGGGCCATTATCCCAGCTCCTGAATAACTCCTTGACTTCGAGTACTAGCTCCAGTATTCTTCTGGACGTCTTCTCTGAGAAGGCCACCGTTTTCACATCTGTTAGACCCAACTTATTTCTTCCGCAAGGACAATCATCCTTAATTTGTCACAATTTATAATTATACTGTATTTTATTGTTTTCTCTCCCTCCCTTGTGGGCAGTAGTGCCTGCTTTACTCTCCCGTGTGCATAGTGGTGCTCAGTAGATAAAGTGGTATAGTGTCCACTTCACATCTATGCCATTGTTTGTCTAGACCAGGCTGTCCTCAAACTCACAGGGATCTGCCTGCCTCTGCCTACTGAGTGCTGGGATTAAAGCACTCACTCGGGCACCAGCACACTCAGGACATTTATGCTCTGTGATATTTGTGTTTTCTGTCAGAAAAGCCAAACTAGCCCTTCTGTGTTCTAATTTTGTGAATGGTCTGGAACGGCCTCTAAGCATCAGGTAAAAACGACGCCTTTGTAGTTCATGGGAAATGCATGCCAACGAGACACTTTTAGTTAGTGTTGCTCTTGTGATACTCTAGGATACACATTCTGCTTTTCTGACTACAGCATTAAAACAACTGTGTTGTATTAGCACAGGATTACAGAATGGAAATATGAATTCTGCTGTGCCTGATATTTTACAGTGTCATGTGGTTGTGGGCCAGACAGATGATGTGACTGCTCAGGGCCAGATGTCCAAGGAGGTGGGGGAAGCTGCTGCAGGCAAAAGAGGGCAGGGTCTAAGGATGCCCAGTGGTGTTCTGGCAGAGTGATGTATATCACCAGATGCCATCTGAGCCTACAGCAGAGGAACAACAGGGGCCACCTAGAAGTGTGGAAGTTCTTCTTCCTCTCTCACTAAAGCCCTTCTTTTAGCAAAGGAGGCATGACCTTCCATGGCCAAGGAAGCGTAAAGTGTTGTTAGCTGTTTCTGTCCAGTGGTTACTCCACGTAAAATCCTGACTCAGTGTCCTGCGGCTCAGCAATGCCTCTGCTGCTCCTGCCGCAGGTGCCTCTGTTCTTACAATCCTTCTGCATTGTCTCTTGACTTTCTTAAAGTCAGTGTGTTTCCTTCCACAATCCTCACCCCTTAGAGAACATGTGACCCAGCTTCTTTCTTGATGATCAGGGAATGAATGCATCAAGGACTTTGGACCTACTGCTGTCTTCAGAAGGGAGTCCTCTGCATATAGCCTCTAGGCCCCCCCAACTCTGTGCTGGGATGATGAACAACAATGATCACAGATACCTCTGACCTCCTGCTGCATGTCCAATCCCATGCCGGCTCAAGAGGAGGGTGTGGTTGATTAGGACACAGTCAAGAAAACGCTGCTTAGATCTTCATACCTTCATTTTACTCAGAGAAACTGGTCCCCTTCTTCTCTCTTCTTCCCATTGAAGATAGAGCTATGCCTTCTGTAGGGCCTTGTGCTTTACATCAAAACTCAGACTTACCTGCATGAAAGAATAGATGTGGTTTTGGAGGGGGTCTGGCATGTGACTTGCTTTATGCTGGACCTCTGTGCCCCAGGACATTTGCATCACCACTGTAGACATTATTGTGGTTGGGTACCATTGTAATTTTTAGTCTCTTAGGTATATATGCCTACTGGCTACCTAGAACTTGGACAGTTGCCTGGTGTGTCTTGGCACCAATACCATTTATTTCCTTTTATTTCCAGGCCCTAAAGTCAGATATAGGTTGCTTTTAGTTGTTTGTATGTTTTATACATTCAGGTTTTATCATCAGGTTCAAATAATTCATTTTAGAGCTGTGCAGGTTTTATGCATTGTAGCTTTTAGTAAGCACTCAGTTGTTACACACACACACACACACACACACATGCACAGTAACAAGAGGGAGGGAGTTGTAATCACTTTCTTTTATACTTTATTCATGTAGACATATACATTGTCTTTCTTGTTGATTATCATTGGCTTCTGAGGACTAAATCAAATTTATCATTAAGTGTAATAATTTTATTATTGGAAAATCAGTTAAAATAAAATGATCCTTTCAAATATGAATACATATTCTGAAAAATTTGACTCCCTTTATTAGATAAGCATTAGTCAGAAAAGTAAAGTAAGAATTTATTCTTATTTATGTTTAATGTAGTTGAATAGATTTATAATATATGCAGTTCTGTAATAGAAATACCATTGGGGAATAGTTTA